GCCCTAATGCCAGGCTTAAGAGTTTACACTGAGTTTAATAGGAAGTTAGGGAGCCAGTAAAACAAACAAACAAACAGAAAAACTTCGAGGAATGGCTCTCGGGAAGATTAATCTGCATCAGGGTGCAAGGTGAATAAGAAAGGGCCTAGAGTCCTGGACCATAGCTAGGAGACTGGTGTAGTAATTTATGTGTAAAGTAATAGGAATCTAACTTGGTAACTGTTTTGAGGTTAAAAAGGAAGGTTTAATTTCAAGAGAAATTTGAAGAACAAGTTAGTGACTTGTTCAGTCACTGGATTTTAGGACCATAAAGAGGGAGAATCTCCTGCCCCTGTACCATAGACTTAGAAGGGAACTTCTCTTATTCCCTTTTGGGATTTGGGGACAATTTTGTATGAGTGATGATTTTGCATGTGTAATACTTATATTGTGATACATGAATTGCCATTGTGTTAAGAGAGGACTAGGAAAGTAGGCTTTTGTATTTATCATCTGTACCCTTCAGAATAATTGACAATGTATGTCACATCTAATCTTCCATCATCACCACCTACTGAGACTGCTATTGTCAAAGTCACCAATGACTTCCTTATTGTCAAATACAGTGGTCATTTCTTTGTTTATATTTTATTAAACCTCACTAGTGTTTGAGACCATTGGCCATGCCCTCCATGAAACATTTTTTTTCTCGCAGCTTCCATGATACCATACTTGACATATACCAGCTCCTTTTGCTGGTTCATCATCTAACAGATCTCTACTTCTTAGAGTGCCTCTGGCCTTTGTCATGAATGCCCTCTACATGCTTCTAGGTAACTCTTCACTCTAAGTACTATCCAAATGCCGATGATTCCCAAAACTATATCCCCAACCCTGGAAAACAACAACCTCCTAACTAGTATACCTACTCTGATTCTTTTTCCCCTATTCTGTTATCAACATAGCAGTCAGAGCGATCATTTAAAAATGTAAATCAGATCATGTCACTTCTCTAGTTAAAACCCTCCAGTGACTTCCCATTGCATTTAGGATAAAATCTGAACTCCTTGCCCTAGCTTCAAAATCCTGTGTGATGTAGTCCCTGCCCACCATTCTAAACTATAGTTCTTACCTCTTTCCCTCTCTGCTACTGCCATTCCAGCCTTACTCACCTTTTAGTTCCTGGGACATTACTCCTTTATTGTCACCTTAGACCCTCTGCTCAGAATGCTCTTTCCTCTGATTTTTGAATTGCTTGTTCCTTGTTCAGACCTTGGCTTAATTAAATGTTATCTGCTCAGAAAAGCCATCCCTCAACAGTTAGTATAAAGCATTTACACAATTATTCTCAATTTTTGCAATTATAGCATGGCACTTAGCACCATCTTCATACCTACATACTGGTAATATCAACTGAGAGTCCAATTCTCTGAGCATAACCTCTTCTACTAATTCTTAACACCCTTTCTCAGATTCATCCATATGTTTCTCATATTATCAGTTTGAGATGCTAGTTCTTACCTAATTATTTTTAAAAGATTATTTATAAAGAGAAAAAAAGAAAGAAAGCAAAGCAGAAAAGTGTTCAAACTGCTAAGTTCTAATTTTTCAACACCAGAACCAGTGTGCTGTTACTTACGTGTGTCTTCACAAATTCCTCTACTGAGTAACCAGACTATGATCTCCTTAGCAGGGGTTTTACAAAACAATAACTCTAATTAAAATATATGACACTATGTAATTCTTTTATTTACATATTATTTTTCAGTTAATAGGCTTTATCATTTATCTAATGCCAGTCAGAGAATAGTAATTTATTTAAAATTTAGTTTATCTGTTTGTGTGTTTGCTTTATAGGACTGATAATATTTTGTTGCATGTATATCTTTCTATGCATGTGTAATTCCACAAACACATGATCATAACATTCTTTTTGAGAGTTGTGTTTCACTTATGATGTAGATAATCTTTCCTTGTCAAAAGTAGATCTATATCATTATTTTAGATAAAACTGTACCACAGTATATTTAACCAGTCCCTTTTTGTTGGACATTTAGATTGATTACAATTATTTTTGACTGGTATAAACATTTTAATAAATATCCTTCAACATTCATCTCTGTGTACTTGGTCTATTATTTCATTGGAATAAATTCATAGAATAGTTTTTATTCGTATTATTAGATTGTCCATCATAAGTTTGAAAGGACATTATTTTTAGAGAAACTTTCTTTTTGGCAATCCCCCAGGTGTTCTCATGCTTCTCTTGCCATTTTATTCCATATATGAGGGGGGTGCAATCTACTACCTTGGCAGGCTTTAGAAGTAAATTGAACAGTATATACAGCAGCCCAATGGTAGGAAGGACCTTCTTCTGTTTCCTTGAGACAGAGCTTTGAAGTATCCTAGGTTTTTGTTTTAAATCAAGGATCCAGAGACACCACCATTAAGTGTTTATGATGAGTTCTGATTGAGAGGGGCTCCTGGTTAGGACCTCCCAAGAAGGAAGTGGTGGTTCTGGTCTCTCCCCTAGGTTTTTTATGAAGTACTTCTGAAGAAAAGAGATTCATAGACTCTCAAGGTTGAAAGAACCACTGCAAGTCTAATTCAGTTTCCACTTGACAGCTAAATCCCTTCAACCACACCCCTGGCAATTGTTTATCAGTCTGTTTGTGCCTTGGTGATGAAGAATTTACTTCCCAAGTTAGTCTGTTTCACCTATGGGTCATTCTGATTATTTAAGGTTTTCCCAGTGGCCAAATTATTAACCTCTTTTGTTGGAGAGAACAGATGAAGAACTTTAAGATGGCTGAACTCCGGAGCCAGAAGAGTGTGCCACAAAAAAGGAGCTAGTCTGGTCATGGCTTCTAGTCAGACTGTGTTGTAAGCACTATCCTCATTGAGGTTTTGGGGGCAGAGGGACTATGTTTTGATTGATTAATTCCCACTCTGTAATGATTTGTCATTGATAGCCTGTGAGAATCTATAACATCCTTTCTGTTCTTTTCGAAGTTATGTTTTACATCAAATAATTTATCTCTTTTAAAATGTATAGCTAGTAGGTAAGCCTTAGCACGTATTTGTCTAGATTTGCAACACTTTTTGTTTTTGTAAAGAGTAAATTGTTTTCAGAGACCCAAAAATTATACCTTATTTCTTGAGTAAGCTATGTCCTCAAAGTATTGTTGGATCTAATAAATTTTCTTTAGTATGACATAAAATTTCCCAGTTCCTTAGTCATATTCTTTACTACAGTAAATTCTGCGCTATGGCAGAGGTTTTAGAGATTGAAATTATCAAAATTTTAATAATGCAACTTTTCTAATGACTACTGTGATTTAGTATTCTTATTTATTAAAATTCAGACACTCATAAATTTTTCCTGACAAGTTCCTAAAGGTTGTCATCACGTAACAGTTCTTTAAAATTTTTAGTGGAGTATAGTTGCTTTACAGTGTATAACAGTTTAATTTTTATCACTTTAAACTTGGTAATTTCTAGTATATGAGTAAGCCATTTCCTGATAGGGTTGTTTTTTATTTTTTTACAGTAGCTCCTTGTTAATTATCTATTTTAAATATAACAGTGTGTACATGTCAATTCCAAACTCCCAATCTATCCCCCTCCCCACCCTTCCCCCCAGTAACCATAAATTCATTCCCCCTTCCCACCCTTCCCCCAGGTAACCATAAATTCATTCTCTAAGTCTGTAAGTCTGTTTCTGTTTTGTAAGTAAGTTCATTTGTATCATTTTTTTTCTTAGATTCCGCATATAAGTGATATCATATGATATTTGTCTTTCTCTCTCTGACTTAACTTCACTTAGTATGATATCTCCAGGTCCATCCGTGTTGCTGCAGGTGGCATTATTTCTTTCTTTTTAATGGCTCAGTAATATTCCATTGTATTATATATGTACCACGTCTTCTTTATCCATTCATCTGTCAATGGATATCCTGCTAGGGTTTTGGAGATAAATTATAATTAAAAAAAAATACTGCCAAATATATATGAGACATTACTTAGGCTGTGAACCATCCTTGGTACTCACATGGGGTAACTGACATCTTGACATCATTCAGCTTTCCATAGCGTAAGAGCCACTGCTCTGCCACAGTTCTTAGCTCTGCAGGATTACCCCACAGTCTGAGAGAGGGAAAAGGATGAGCCCAGAGAAATCTCCCGGGAGCTAAAATCATCCCATGTAGCCAGCCCATGGCAAGCCTGAGCTAGCCTTGAAAACCCACAGAACCATCAGAGAAAGGTCTGAATGGATTTCTTTTAATGTCTTTTGCTTCCCTCTGAAGGACACCATGGTTTAACTCAGTGAGTCCCAGGAGACCACAGGAGACCCTTGGCTTATGACCTAATTGGTTCCTGGAGGAAAGTTGAAAGTTGAGACCTCTTTTTTTCCCCCAGTTTGGCACATTATTATAAGTTATGGTCCTTTTCCTGGAAACAAACCCTGTACCACAATATTCCAAAATATATTGTTAAAATATATGTTGAACATATATTATTTATATTTTTACAAACATCTGTTAAAGCATATAAAGGCAAAATTTGTAGCCACAGTGAAAGGAAGCATGCGTGGGGTAGTTAGCGACTCAGATTCTAGAACCAGACTTGTGTAGGTTCAAATTTCAACTTTGCAACTTCCTAGCTGGGTGATCTTGGGCAAGTTATTTAACCTCTCTATGCTTCGGTTATCTATAAAAATGGTGGTAATAGTCCCTTCTAGAGCTGCTTTGAGGAGTAAATGAGTTAATGTATAGAAAGTAGTGAGAACTGGCAATGCCTAACAACATTACTAAGTGCTGGCTGTTATTTTATATATTGCAAATGGTCATTTTAGGGACTGAATGGTCTTAAAATACCAGCTCAATCAAGTTGGCTCTCAAGACTCCTTCTTTTCCTGATAAGGCCTTCCTGAGGCTAGAAATAGGCACTCGTCGTCATACTCTTCAAGGCTATTCACAATCAGGCAAGGACCCATCTTTCTTTCTTTCTTTTGATACCAGATAGTCTGGATGAATATTTTGAATATGATGCAGAGGAGTTCTTGGTCTCTCTGGCCTTGTTAATAACAGAAGGACGAACACCTGAATGTTCTGTTAAAGGTCGGACGGAAAGTTTCCATTGCCCTCCAGCACAGTCCTGTTACCCAGTAACTAGCAAACATGAATGTAGTGATAAGCTGGCCCAGGTGAGAATTGTGTTTTGAATGCTTTTTATCTTTTATATAAACCTGTTTAAATTCTGTCATTGACTTTGTTAAATCACAATTATAATGTTCACATTTAAGTATAAAATTGGTCACAACATAAAGAAAAGGTACTAATCCTGAACTGCAGCTAATAATTTTGGCTGTAAACAAGGCTCTCAAAGGCCACAGTAGGTAGCTTTTCCATCAGCAGGCAGGTGGGCAGCCAGTTTCATACCTGCCTCCACACACACCAGATTTAAGATTATCTTTGTTACTGTGAATTAGCTTTTCTTTAGTTTTAGTCTCAGCCCCGGTTCATCAACTTTGTGTTCTTGTTTATTTAATAGATTGATGTTCATAATTATTTTCCCCACATTAATCACTTTCCCTCTTACATCCCTCCCCTTTTTAATGGGAGGATACTTTTTGCTATCATTAATGTTTTTGTAGAATACTGTTAAAAATATTTATTTTGATATGTAGCGTATAATTTGCTGTAAGGATTTTTCTCCCAGTTAGTCTCTTAACTGTAGTCCAAAATTTTAAACTTCTAAAAATGTTGTCTACTTTGAGTGTTTAATGAAAATGAGTTTTTAATATTTTGATCTTAGAATGAATCTTTCCTCTAATTAATGATGATGTAATTAACAAATGAGGCGAGGCTGGGCCATCTTGAGGCCTGTCAGACATTGGGCATGGCAGTTCTTTTTCCACAAAATAGAGCAAAGATATCCTCCCCGGAGAAAATTTGCATCATAATTGTTGTTTGCTACTAATCCCCACACTCTAGAGCTCCTAGTGCTGATGCATTGTTTAATGAGGAAACCTAAATAGGCAGACAAGCCTGAGCTGAGCCCTGCAATAGGCAACTCATTTTCATATAGATGTCTGCTTTACAATTGTATTTTTCAAATTTAAATATAAAATTGGGTGGGCTCTTGAGCCATTTTGCTTATCTCCATCTTCTCCAAGTGTCGCCAAGCCCGACGAACTAGGTCTGAGGTCGCATTATTGTGGAAGAATAACCTTCCAATCATGGTGGAAGTGATGCTACTACCAGATTGCTGCTACAGTGACGATGGGCCCACCACAGAAGGGATTGATCTAAATGATCCTGCAATTAAGCAAGATGCATTATTATTAGAAAGATGGATATTGGAGCCAGTTCCTCGACAGTAAGTTGAACTGAGTTTGAAGTTGTCCTTTGTAAATCAGGTTTTCCATTACTTTCTATAAATTATTTTAATAATATATCATATCTTTGAGTTCCTCTATTTATGTAGTAAAATTTACATATTTAGTACTTATGTGACTTCAAGTGACACTGGTAAATGCACTCCTATACTCTTGAAAGCACATGTCCTGAGTGATATGTTTATTTCAACTTTTATCTTTCTAAAATTTAGTCATTTTGTACTTGTTGACATTTAGATGATGCCTTTTTACTTCCCTTAGGAGTGGCGATCGATTTATTGAAGAGAAGACTCTCCTATTGGCTGTCCGCTCATTTGTGTTTTTTTCTCAATTAAGTGCTTGGCTGAGTGTTTCTCATGGTGCTATTCCACGAAATATTATTTACAGGTATGTCTAGGGCAGAAAAAGGACAATGTGTATTCAGCTACAGTGGTTAGCTACTGAATGACATTTTACCTTTTAGGCAGTTTATATCCTTCATTTCTAAATATAAGGGGACAAAATTTACTGAAATTAAAAAGTAAAAAATTTACTTGTTTTTCAAAACAAGTTAGAGAAATTTAGATATGACTCAATATGCATTTTGCTTCTTGGGTTAAATCTGGTGTAGAATAGTTTTCAGAGAACTTTTCAGCTTACTTCACAGAACTAACAATGAGAATGTACCACCATTATAAATAAAGTGGAAAAACTCTCTGGGTTGCTGAATTTCCATAATGGTAAACTTAATTTTAAGATCCTGAAAACTATAAACACACAGGCTGCTGAACAACTGTCTTAACTGTCTCTTTAGGCAGGTGGCCGTGAGATAGAGAGTATCTCTTAATCACCATGCGCAACAGAATTAGCTGAATCCATTTATTTAGTAGTAAATGGAAAGTCCTTTTTCTGTTTTGACAACTAATTTTAAATTATAGTATTTTTGAGCTTTAATGCTTTAATAGAATAGTGTTCTTAAAAAGATGGTCTCCATTCCAGGTATAATCTATTTATGTTGGTTTTGTTAGAATGACATGCATGGTAAAGTAGGTTAAAATAAAATCTCAATAGTAATTAATGCAAACAAAGGTAAGTATATGACTGTTTAACATTTTTTAAATAACATAATAATGATTTGTTTTATAATCCATTGATTCCATTTTTTTCTGTGTGATTCTAGAATCAGTGCTGCTGATGTAGACCTACAGTGGAATTTTTCACAAACTCCAATTGAACATGTGTTTCCTGTTCCCAATGTGTCTCACAATGTGGCCTTGAAAGTCAGTGTTCAGTCCTTGCCCAGACAATCTAATTATCCAGTTTTGACCTGTAGTATTCACACTAATATTGGCCTTTATGAGAAAAGAGTTCAAGACCATGAACTTAAAACCCATCAGCACCGAAATTCTACTGAAGCAGAGCAATGTAGTACAAACAGTTCACAGCGTCTGTGTAGCAAACAAACTTGGACCATGGCACCCGAAAGCATAATATTACATGCAAAAAATGGCACAACTCCAGAATATACTGCAGCTGTCAAAAATGTCAAACTATATCCGGGCACTAGTGGTAAATCTGACTATGGAACATCTCAAGGCAATATTCTGGGCTTCAGTGGTATAGGAGATAAAAAGTCACATGAAACATCAGTGAGAACTTTAAAATCATTTTCAGTGATTGATTCTAGTGAATCTAGCCGCCAGAGTTCCTGGCAGTCAGTTGGTGAGGCTAATCCTTTAATAGGCTCTTTAATTCAGGAGCGACAAGAAGTTATTGCAAGAATAGCTCAGCATTTGATTCATTGTGATCCAAGCACTTCACATGTTTCTGGACATCCACTTAATACACAAGAATCTAGTTCACTTAATTCAAAGCTTTTCCGGGTTTCACAAGAAAATGAAAATGTGAGAAAATGTAAAGAAACGTTCTCCATTTCTTTTGGTAATCCAGAGCTCACCTCCTCAGAAGACATCAATGAAGGGAAAATTCGAGTAAAACCAGAAACTCCTCGAAGTGACACTTGCATTACTAATGGTCTTCATTCTGATCAGTCTGTTGGTGAGATTAATCCTTTGATAAGCTCTTTACTCCAGGAGCGGCAAGATGTCATTGCAAGGATTGCTCAGCACTTGGAACACATTGATCCAACAGCACCTCACATGCCCCGGCAATCATTCAACATGCAGGACTCCGGTTCAGTTCCTTCTAAAGTGTTTAGGAGTTCCTATGAAGACAGAAATTTGTTGAAGAAAAACAAGGATGACACCTCTGTTTCCATTTCTGATACAAAATTTTCCTTGTTAGATAACATCAGTGAAGGGAAACACTTAACACCTAATAAACATTTTAGTTATTTTAAATGCAATAGTAATGTCAAGCCTTCTTTGAAACCTCAAACAAGAAGAAATCTGCATCAGAACAATCCTAGTGAAATCCAAAGTACATTTCAAGAGACACAGAACAAAGCCACTGGTTTAATGAATCCTTCAAATATGTCTCATTGCAAAGAAGATAACTTAGATTTCACAATCAGATTGGAAAACACACTTTCTGAGTGTCAATTTAAGGAACAAGAAATTGACAATGAAATCAATAAACAGTATTCAAAATGTAACAGTATTGACAAACAGATTTGCACAAATAAGTATAAGGACAAAATAATAATAAATGAAAATTATAATCCAGAATCTTTTAACAATCACCAGTTTGATCATTCAAAAAAAAGTGACTCGAAAATAAATGTTACTGTGTTGGAAATGTCTGGATATTTGAAGAAACATGCAAATGAGTGCTCAGATAAAGACTCCAAAAAGCCGAAGTCATGCGAACAAAATACTCAACTTAATAGTATAGAAAATTATCTCAATAAAGATAGTGAAGGTTTCAAATGCAAAAAGCCAAACCAATTAAACAATGAACAGGATAAGAAAGAAGATCCAGTTGATGAAATATCTCAAAACTGTTCTCAGAGGAAGAATATAAAAGAATGTTTGTTTACGTGTGAACGACTGAAAACTAAAGAGGTATTGGTAGGTAATATCTAACATTTCAAATATAATCCTCAAACATTTGTTATGGTTTGAACTTTGTTTACAGGAGATCTAGTTAGGCTCAAGATAGATGCCCATTATCTATAAAACTCACTGTCTGATATAATAAACATCCTTGTAAATAACCCACCCACTTCAGAGCAAATGCTAGGTAAATTCTTCCTGTTGCCTTTTTTTGTTTATTTTAATACTGTGAACAGTTGCTGGAGAGTAAATAAGAGTCAGAAATGAAACTTGTATCATTAGCTTAAGGTATTGTTTGATAGCAGCTCTGGCCTACAAGCAGTGTGCCCATTGTGTTATGCCTAGAAATATCTATAGTGAAATCACTGGGCTGTTGGTCAGAATACCCAAGTTTCAGTCCTGACAATTTGGTCCTTGAGTGAAGCTGAATAAATCATGTAACTTATAAAACCCTCAGTCTCCTCGATTTTAAAATAAGAACGATGAATATCTTTTGCTTATAGTTGTGGTGATAATCAAATTATAGATCTTTAAACATTTTGTAAGCTTTTAATGCACTACCTAAATCAAAGATATTTAAGTTATTTCCATTTTATTTGTCCACCAAATCACTTTTTAACTTTAGAAAATTATTATTAGGCTTAAATTTCCTTTATTTCTCCAAGAAGTATCACAAATTTATATCTCAGTTATATGGAAAACTACTTAACTGCCTCGATCCAAATCTGAATGACCTTGATTCATCTTCTTTATCATACAAATTAGCTTTGCCGGACATTAGAGTCTTAAAAGTATGCCATGTTTGCAATTAATATTTTTCAACAGACGATCTCTTTCTAACACATGGGTTTAATCAAATGAGAGTTTCCAATTTCCTAAAACTATAATTGTCACAAAAACCTACCCTGGCCTTAAGAATACTAGCTTTTCATGATCCTTTCTGGTACCTAACAGGGAGACTTACTTTGACCATGGTATTTTTCAAGCCACTAATATTTGTTTTTTCATACACTCATTTTAAATATAATTATATAGCATTTACTGGGTGCCCAGGCACTCTTCTGAATGTTTTATACATGCTGGCTTACTAAATCCTTTCACTACGCTCTGAGGTTAGGTGCTATTACTAACTCCAGTTTACAAATGAGAACTCTAGGCCCAGAGAGGTTAAGTAACTTGCCCAAGGTCATAAAGCTAGTAAATGGTAGAGCCAGGACCCCAATTATTCTTCTCTGATTTTTATTCATGTGTTTTTATGCATTTTTTATTTCTGGGTATAAACTTGCCATTTTAAATTCTTAAGAATTAGTCTATTTCTTATATCACTTCAAAAACATAATACTGTGACTGTGTTAAGTATATTTTAAAATTCACATTTAAATTTTTGTATCATGCTGTACCAAATTATATTTTCTGAGAATGGCTCTTGCTACTGACATAGTTTTATATTTTAGAATATTTTACTAATTTTTTCTGTGAGTTTTTTCACAGATTAAAAGAATTGAATGTTAGCTTACTAGATGATAGACTGAGTTTTTTTTTTTAAATAAACTTATTTATTTATTTGTTTTTATTTTTGGCTGTATTGGGTATTCATTGCTGTGCGTGAGCTTTCCCTAGCTGTGGTGAGCGGGAGCTACTCTTGGTTGAGGTGCGAGGGCTTCTTATTGCGGTGGCTTCTCTTGTTGCGGAGCACGGGCTCTAGGCGCACGGGCTTCAGTAGTTGTGGCTCATGGGCTCTATAGCGCAGGCTCAGTAGTTGTGCTGCACGGGCTTAGTTGCTCCGCAGCATGTGGGATCTTCCCGGGCCAGGGATTGAACCCCCTGTCCTCTGCATTGGCAGGCGGATTCTTAACCACTGCACCACCAGGGAAGCCCAGACTGAGTTTTGATAAATATGTTGATAAGGCAATTGTGTTTGGACATACTTTTTTTAGAATATTTGAGTTTATTCAGCATCTTAGAAAAAACTCTTAAACACTGTTTTTTGATTAAAGTGTATATATATATATGTGTGTGTGTATAGATAGTTATATAGGTTGTTAGCTTTACCACCAAGGATGGTAAAAACAAAAAAATTTTAAATATTGCCATTAAAATCTAAATCTTTTCCTAGCAGAGAACTATACCACTTAAACACTCAAGTGTCTGGCAGAAACATAATTTTCATTCCTTGGATGGAACCTCAACCAGAGCCTTTCATCCTCGAACTGGATTGCCTCTTCTTTCCAGTCCTGTAAGTGTTTTTCTCTTATTTTATGTTTAGACTTGCAAAACATGTACAATGTTTGCAAATCACTTTATCCAAATTTTAATTGAAAAAATTTAAATACCTTCAAAATAAATTTCTAGTGGGAAAACATTTTATTTTTTGATACATTTAATAGCTAAATGTTAATATGGAAAAAGGCAGAAAAAATGAATAAAAATGAATTTATTGTATTAGGATTATAAAATTTCTCTGAAATTCTTTTGTCCAGCATATTGATTCTCACTAATGTAAAGAAAATACTTAGTGTAAAGTGGATTTTCTCTAAATAGATTTGTATCATAGTACTGTGGCTGGTTGACACCACCAGCTGAATCATCTGGGAATCAAATTTGTGGCTGTCTTTGACTTGCGACCTGTACAGTTAATCTTCTTATTTTGAGACATATAAGTTTCCCCACTCTACATTTACTAATAAATTTATAGATCTGAGTGTGATGGTTAAGAACCTCGCTTTGGCATCACGCTGACTTCACCCTAGCTCTGTGACATTAGGTGAGAAATATTGTCTCTCTGAGCCTCAGTTTCCTCATCTGAAAAAGGGGTGATAATGTCCACCTTAGTGTTGGGAAGATGATTAATATCATTCCTGGTAAGCATTTGATAGTCGCTAAAGCTGCCATTTCAGTTAAACGAGAGGTAAGCAGTCAATATCCTAGTAAACTAAAAACATGTTTATTTTTGCTATTGACATAATTTTTGTTTTTATGTGAGTTTTTTTAAGTAAACTCAAAGCATGCAATATCTGGCATATTTTCAAAAATTAATTCTTGAATAAGAGATTTAGTTTTAAATTTGTAACTTGGACCTTAGGTGTTTATTTTAGGGAAGTTGAATTCTAAACAATTTAAAATAACCCCAAATGTTTGACCTACGTATGAGGTGCTTTCAAAATGCCCAGGTGATGAGGAAAAAACTTATAGCATCATGCTGGTGTAAAAAGCACTACAGACTTCTGTTCAATATGGTGGACTGAGTTAATACGAGAAGATCCTTCCTCCTTCCCAAACACAAAAATCCTGGACAAAATATAACACAACTTTTAAATACATAATATAGTGTAAGAGCAAGAAAGATAAATCTCTGAAACTAACTTGGGGCAAATTATGACCTTCTAGGATATCTAAATCTAATATAGTGCTAGGGTTTAATGCTCCTGCTGGATCAGGAGTCAGGTCTACACTGGTCATAGCTGGGACCTAAAACCAAACTCCATAAAGCCAGAAACAGGTGAGGACTGCCATTCTAGAAATGGGAGACGAGAAAAGAAATCACCTATTTACTTAAGGGGTGCAATAGGAGGGATAGAGTAGATGGGAAAAGAAGCCCCCAAAAGAATTTGGACCTAAGCCTAAGTCACCCATGGTTAGGGGGTTCTGAATTTGTGCAGTCTATGAGAAAACATGAAACTATCCCACATCTATTACCCATGGCACCAAGGATTTATTTTCATGGAAGATAACTCTTTCTGAGGATGATCTCAGGGGGATTAAAATTATAAAGCACCTTAAAAGAACCAGCAAGAAGAAGAAGTGGGAAAATTCATATTTAGGAATCCTGTTATCAGAGCAACTTGAAAGAGAATCAGAAATAATTCTTTTTAAAATGTTTCAAGACAAGACAGGGAGATGATCTTGGTGCTTTGTGTCCACCTAGAGGGGTGGGATAGGGAGGGTGGGAGGGAGGGAGATGCAAGAGGGAGGAGATATGGGGTTATATGTTTATGTATAGCTGATTCACTTTGTTATACAGCAGAAACTAACACAGCATTGTAAAGCAATTACTCCAATAAAGATGTTAACATAAATAAATGAATGAATGAGTGAATGTATGTTCCAAGAGATAAATGAAGATAAAGACAGGGAACTGAGATAAGAGAACATGTGGGATTGGAAAAATAGAAATTAAAAATATGAAAAATATAATTGAAGTGTACATACACGTGTGCATACACATACACATGGATTAAATGGTGGACTGGAATCAGCTGAATAGAGATTTAGTCAACGGATAGACACGTATTAAGAAAGCACCTAGAATAAAGTGCAGAAGGGAAGAGAGATGGTAAAATATGAAAGAGCCCTGGAGGATAAAATGAGATGTTCAGTATAAGCCTAGTAGAAATTCCAAAAGGAAGGCTAGATGGAATGAGGAAAATGCAGTACTGGAAGAAATGAAAGTAGAAAACTTTCCTGAATTGAAGACATGAGAATTTGGATTGAAGATTTCACATTAAGTTCTAACTCCAAAATATAGAATGGTGCGCTTGTACAACTCTTAAAAATATTGAGGTTGTTTAGACTTTCAGTATCATCTGTTTCTTAGTCACAAATTAGACCAATCACTCAGATACTTTATACATATTTAACATTAATTCTAAAGACAAATCCGTCTAACTTGTATGTTGTATGTGATTTTACCTTTAATTTACACTTGGGTCTTTCATTTTTAGATTATTTTTAGCTAGTTGGTGGTTTGTCTTAAATGTAATTTGGTATACAATAGTGGTTAAAAATCCACAGTAGTATTTTTCAAACCTGTTCTCTGTGAAGCCCCAGCCAGGGTTCTTGGAAATGTGCAGTCGGGTAGGGATGGTTAAAAGAACAGTAGAGTTGGCAGGACCCCAGACTCCCATCGCCATTTAATTCTTTTTTTCCCCCTTTTATTGTAAAGCTATTAATCATTTATTCCTACCCCCTCAATACAGAAGTATATAAAGTAAAAAGTAAAAGTCTTATTATATTATATATTGGGATTACATGTAAGATTTGGTTTTAGAAAAAACTGGTTCTGGTTCTTAAAAAATCAAAACCGAGGGAATTCCATGGCGGTCCAGTGATTCAGACTCAGCGCTTTCACTGCTGTGGCCAGGGTTCAATCCCTGGTTGGGGAACTAAGATCCCGAAGTGCAGTTAGCCAAAAAAAGAAAAAAATCAAAACCTAGTAAAAGTGCTTTTATTAATCATCTTTTTTTTCCAAACTAGTTAATAAAATGAGGACATAGGGACAATATGTAATAAAGAGCATGATTTTAATAAGCTATTAGGAGAGAAGTTTTATTATTTTTTAAGATATGCTTAGCTTTCATTTGAAAATTGTTCTATCAATTCAAGAAAAAACTTATAGTCTGAAATTCTTTTGAAACCTAACAAGTGATTATTTTAACCTTAGGTTCCTCAAAGAAAGGCACAATCAGGTTGCTTTAATCTGGATTCTTCATTACTGCATCTGAAAAGCTTATCATCTAGAAGGTATTTATCTTAAAATTCATTAGTGTATATGAAATAATCTTGCACAAAATTCTAGCCTTTCACAGTAAATAATGTTGACTCTGAAAATCAAAATTTGAACAGGAATCCCATTTTTCAGTTTATCATTTTCAAGATGATTTCACACATACAGTTATTAAGGATGAGTGAGGGAGAAATTAAGATGATGAGTAACTAACTATACAGTGGTCATTATGATAAACAAACACTTACATTGGTTTTAACATTTAAGTGGGTTTGTCTGTTTCTGGTCATTCACCTCCTCCTTTGTCTTATACTCCTTTGCAAAGAAGCCTTGGCAATTTGTTCCATGTTGACAAATAATACTCTCATTATATTCCTTAGTCACATAAGTTTGCCTTTGTATTCTAATTTTTAACTTAAAATGAAGATTGATATAGAAGACTGCATTACAATATTATATATTTCCAGTAGATGCTGCTGATATGTTATAAATTCCACCTTGAAACCTAGGATGTTATTTATATTCTTTATCAAATATTATAACAAAGATTATAAAATCTAATCAGGAATTTAAAATGAGATATTTCATATCTTAAAATTTGGTTACATTAATTTTTTATTATGGTAGTTTAAGTAAAATTGATCAGATCCTCCTAGTTTAATTTGTACAAAAGTGAATTAGAAAATACTGTTGTTAATATGTCCATTTGCTGATTTGTTCTTTTTTTAAATAGTCCTCGACCATGTTTAAACATTGAAGATGATCCAGATATTCATGAAAAACCATTTCTGAGTTCTAGTGCTCCACCTATAACAAGTCTTAGTCTCTTAGGAAATTTTGAGGTAATGTTTTTTGAAACTATTTTAAGAGTTGAAGTTTCCTAACCTAGACCCATGGTGTCATTTATGTCATTTGTTCTTAAAAAGGAAATAAATGGATTACATTTTTCTAAAGCCTTGAAATCACCTCCTTTCCTTTCCTTTCCCTTTTTCTTTTTTCCTTATCCCTTTTTCCTTTTTTGATTTCCCTTTTTCCTTTCCTTTACATGAGAAGTAAAGTTGGGAGAATTGTTGGCAGTGACATTTTAGAATTGGGTAGCTGGTGGAGGAGATGCAGGACTTAGGTGAAATCAGGTTGGATGGAGGTATCCGTTACTCGAGCTGGAAAATAGACTTGACCACACCTTCTTACCTGGTAAAACTGGCTCTGGGACCCAGGAAGGATGATGGTGGGCTGATAGCAGCTGATTCATGATCAAGGAGGCTGATTTTCGAAATCAAATAGTTCTTTGTACTATATTTGCAACTTCTCTGTAAATCTAAATTTATTATAAAATAAGATTATTTTTAAAAAATCAAATGGTTAAAGGTCTCTGATACATGTGCTGCTTTATTTAATGACTCTTCTACTTGGGATCAAGTATATCAAGGGTTTAGTTGTCTTCAATTAGAAAACAATCTTAAACATGAACCTGTAAATGACATTTAAAAAAATTTTTATTGGAGTATAGTTGATTTACAGTGTTGTGTTAGTTTCAGGTGTACAGCAAAGTGAATCAGTTATATATATACATATATGCACTCTTTTTTAGATTCTTTTCCCATATAGGCCATTACAGAGTATTGAGTAGAATTCCCTCTGTTACACAGTAGGTCCTAATTAGTTATCTGTTTTCTCTCTTTTATATATAGTAGTGTGTATATGTCAATCCCAGTTTCCCACTTTATCCCTCCCCCCCTTTACCCCCCAGTAACCATAAGTTTGTTTTCTACATCTGTAACTCTACTTCTGTTTTGTAGATAAGTTTATTTGTACCCTTTTTTTAGAATCCACACATAAGCGATATCACATGATATTTATCATTCTCTGTCTGACTTACTTCACTCAGTGTGACAATCTCTAGGTCCATCCATGTCACTGCAAATGGCATTATTTCATTCTTTTTAATGGCTGAGTAATATTCCATTGTACATATGTACCACATCTTTTTTATCCATTCCCCTGTCAGTGGACATTTAGGTTGCTTCCATGTCCTGGCTATTGTAAATGGTGCTGCAATGAACATTGGGGTGCACTTATCTTTTTGAATTATGGTTTCCTCTGGGTGTATGCCTAGGAGTAGGATTGCTGGGGTATATGGTACTTCTATTTTTTGTTTTTTAAGGAACTTCCATACTGTTCTCCATAGCGGTTGTACCAATTTACATTCCCAACAGTGATTTTAGGGAATTCCGTGGCAGCCCAGTGGTTAGGACTCCATGCTTCCACTGTAGAGGGCATGGGTTGGATCCCTGGTTGGGGAACTAAGATCCTGCATGCTGAGAGTTGGGGCTAAAAATATACATATATATATAAGTGATTTTATATGTATGGGTGTGTGTGTATATATATATATATATATATGTATGTGTGTATGTATACATATGCATGTATAAACATATATAATCACCTACGACCTTGCTCAACTTGCTTATTAATTTTATTGATTTGGAGGGGGTGGATTTTTGTATGTAGATTCCCACATCATCTACAAATAGGGACAGTTTTATTTCTTACTTTGTAATTTATATGCCTTTTATTTCCTTTTCTTGCACTCAGTAGGGCCTAACATGCATGCTAGTACAATATATTCGTTTAAAGTCACAAAAACCTGAATAAAGTCATAGACTACATTGGATCATTGGCCTTATCCATTAGCATTTCTGTGCTCTTTTTCTGAAATTTTCATACACCCTTAGAACATTTTTCTTATTTAAGAAACATTTATTGAGTACCTACTATGTGTCATGTTGTATGCTAGGAATATAAAGCTAAATAATAAACTTCCTGCCTTAGAGAAGTTTACAGGCTGCTGGAGAAGTTGGACATATAAATAATCTATAAACCGAAGTAATTAGCACTGTAATAGAAATTTTCTCAGTCTCCATATATTTGTTCTCTCTGCTAAGGGACTGGGAAGCTTTCACTAAGGAGCTGTCATTTGAGCTTAGTTACAAAAGATGAGTAGGAATTTGCCAAGTAAATTGTGTGAGAAGTGTCAAGGGATTCTAGACAAAGGGAGCTACATGTGCAAAGGCATATGGGTAAAAGTAGTAAAAGAGCATGGTGATATTGAAAAGCATCATCCAGAACTGGAGTGTAAGACTGCGTGCAAGTGAGGAGAGCTGTGGTAAGAGATGTAGGGTGGACCTTACATACCATGCTGTGAATATTTGACTTCATCCTGTGGACATCAAGAAACACAAAGTTTTTAACCTGGTGGGTAATGTAAGACTTTTTTTTTTTTTTTTTCCTAAAAACTCTGGCAGTAATACAGATGATACACTAAAGATGGAATAACTAATTAGAGGGTATTGCATTTGTTCAGAGGAGAGGTTATGAGGGTCTGAGCTAGGTTACTGGTGTTGAGGGAGCTGAGGCTGTGAGACTTGAGAGGTCCCATCAGCAGGATATGGATTGGATTGATTGCAGGGCAGGAGGGAGATACAGAAGGCTCGTTGTAACGTAGGTCTCTTGGTCTGGTCTTTTTGACACGGGACTGGAGAATTGCTGATGCCACTTTCAAATTTAGACTCATGAGGGCTTGGAGTGTTTCTTTTCAAAGAATTCCTGAATCAAAGAAACGTTACTCACATTTCTTGATGTATGCATATATGTGTTGATATATGTATAGGAAAGAGAGCTTGTGAAAGGCTTAACATGTTTCTCATACCTGGAAATATAAACACTAAATTGTTAAAAGTGGTTTCCTCAGCAAGTGAGCTTGGGAGAGATGGATAAGGAGCTTCTCTATTGTTTGTATTTATGTACTTTTAAATTTTTTCCCAATGTGTATTTACTGTTTCTTAAATTAAACTAAACAATAAAACATATGTCACTTCCAACAACAATTTTTAAGAGGCAGTTGTTTTTCAGTTAAAGTTATGAGTACTTGGCTTTCTCTTTTGATGGAACTTCTGTATATGACCTGTTAACAAGTTTTCAAGTGCTTCTCTGTGGCTAACAGTAGAAATATACTCTGAGGAATAAGAAAATTTCTGATATTATACCTGCTCTGGTAGAGCATATTTTCTTTACAGAGATAAGAATAACTCATTAAACGATTATATCAAAATAATGGTGAAGTTCAAAGATAGTTCAGTGTGGGTTGGAATAGTAAGGAGGCCAAACTTTGTAAGATGGTAGAAGATTGATTTGGGAGGGTGTTGATTTCAGGTCAGGTGAACATTTGAAATGAGGGCATGGCAATGGCAGCAACCACTTTTCTCGTGCCAGAAAGCATACTAACATATTTCTTTAAATAGAAAGAAGGAATGAATGTGTTAACTTTTAAATTTTATTTCTTAAAAATTATTTTATTTTGCCTTCCAGGAGTCTGTCTTGAACTATCGTTTAGATCCTCTCGGCATTGTTGATGGCTTTACTGCCGAGGTAGGGGCAAGTGGGGTTTTCTGCCCCACTCATTTGACTCTTCCAGTTGAAGTGTCATTCTACAGTGTTTCTGATGATAATGCTCCCTCTCCTTATATGGCAAGTATTTTTAATTGTCTTCTTCTGCTAAAATCAACCATCTTAATGACAAATACCTTTAAGCTTAAAGAGATTTAGTACTACTTTGGTGCAATGCTTGAAAATATAAAGTATTTCCTAAGAGGGGATTGAAGGCTGCATAGAGATGAATATGCCAAAATAACACCTCACAACTTCTTTCTGAGCAAGCTCTAATAACAGGTACCCTCTATTACATTTGAGGATTGTGCTGAAAATTTACTTGTTTCTATGTAATATGAAAAAATGATAAAATTTTGATTAGTGACACTGTGATTCCATATCTTGCTGAGTTCACGCAGATTCTCAAGTGCTTACTGGGCACTCTAGTCCTAACAGTGTTGCCTTCACTATGATCCTCATCTCAGTAGAGTTTAGGTAAAGATTTGGTGACGTACAGCTTTTGTGATGCCCTTTCACCCCCTTTCTCCTGTTTGGCTTATCTTTGGACCATTCTTTTTCCAATTCTAGGGTTCTTTAGAATACTAGCTATTTCTGACTCCATGCCAACGTTTTAGTGGAGAGTAAAATAGCTAAGAGGAATAAGAGCACTGTCTTGAGCCTTAGGATCCTATAATTTTATCTTTCCCATCTTTTATTCCAGTGGATTTGAGGATGAAATAAGCCCTCAACTGCAAAAATGATACCAAGTCCTGGTGTGTGATTACTGTCAGCCCTTTTCCGAAAGACAAGTTAGTGGCTAGCAGTGCAAGTCTGTAAGAAGTTTACGTTGATGGTATAAAATATGGAGTCAGATCTGGGTTTTTATGTTAGGTCTTGCTTTGAGAAATACAAATTGCGGTAGGCATAGAAATATACAGCTCTGGTCTTGCTACTTGAATTTCCTAACTTATCCCCTGACCCAATTGCTTCCTTTCTAATATCCCTCTCCCCCACCTTCTAGGTTCCTCAAGGACATTAGCAACAATGTCTTTTGTTATTAATAAAAACTATGAAAAGCAAATTCTGCATAATTGAGAAACAACAGAGGAAGGGAAGTTATAGTTTTTTAGGGACCTAAATGCAGTCTACTCATTACTGATGTAGTTTGTTCACGGAAGGTTGTTAAGCCTTATTCCATTCTAAGGGTGAAAATTTTAATCAAGAGTCTGATTGGTGTTTCATACTTTGATCTAAAAAGCACAGTGGTGTCATTTATTCAAAGTTTTCTTTTTTCAATAATAATAACACTTGTGGGTCATAATTGTAAAGATGCATAACAGTGGTTGTTATAAAAAACAGAGGCCCAGTTCTTCACAAGCCTACCCAGTTATCACATATACCACTTGTTACTCATTTACCATAGAAAGATGTATCCACTTTCCAGTATAATTTTGAAAAAATAACTGTTAATTTTAGATAATTAATAAAATGGAAAATATCATTGAGATAAGCTCAATACCAGAAAAAATGTGTATCTTACTGGAATGCTTACAATATTAGAATATAGCTATAGGGCTTCCCTGGTGGCGCAGTGGTCGAGAGTCTGCCTGCCAGTGCAGGGGACATGGGTTCGTGCCCCGGTCCGGGAAGATCCCACATGCCACGGAGCGGCTGGGCCCGTGAGCCATGGCCGCTGAGCCTGTGCGTCCGGAGCCTGTGCTCTGCAACGGGAGAGGCCACAACAGTGAGAGGCCCGTGTACCACAGAAAAAAAAAAATAAAAAGAATATAGCTATAAAGATGGCCATTCTGCTTTACTGGGACATCAAGAAGTCTCATTAGTTTCAGGTATTCTATTGGCACATGGTAATAAAGAATGGAAAGATAAGGTCTGAGGTCATTAGTGTACAGAGTCCCTGATGACCATTAGGATGAGTTAGAAACAAGTTAAAGAGTGAATTGGCTGAAAGTCAGCTCAAAAAACTATCTTTGAGTGAAATTCATGAGCAAGAGGTAATTTGAACTATGCTTTAAAAAAGCAAAATAACATTAATTCTTGACCTTGGTTGACATCTAAAAAAATAAGGATTAAGAGATAAAGGATTTAGGGGGAAAGTGGGGGTCAGGGGGTGGGATGAACTAGGAGATTGGGATTGACATATATACACTAATATATACAAAATAGATAACTAATAAGAACCTGCTGTATAAAAAATAAATTAAATTTAAAAAAAAGAGAGATAAAGGATTTTATCACTCTGTCTCCAGAAAGCACACACAAATGATCACAGATTTTGAATAAATATTGAAAAGAGTCTGAATTAGGTTAAGTTAGTCTATCCTTTAAGAATCTTTTTCTTACTTTTCTCTGATAATATTCTTTAATAAATTTTCCAATATGTAATTTTTTTTACTCATTAGGAATGGGTTCCCTTTACAAATGACCCAGTCCAAATCTTAGACCACGGATCTTTCCTCCTGTAAATTAATCAAATTAATCTTATTCGCTAGGGAGGGTTATTTGTATTTTGGTAGTTTAGTCTGTTTTCAAAGGTCTGATCATGTTTTGATAAGATAGTACATATCACAGACCAGTGGAGCTGAGACACCAAATCCCTATTTGTTACTCTAATAATAACCTTGGAACCTCTCATGACAAATTATACAAATGACTTGCAAGGGTGAAATTTTAGCACAGAGAATTCTGTCTTTGTGGAGTAGAGATAGTACAGGGCTTTTCATTAAATAATTCCTTTTAGACTAGCTCAAAGCCATATAAATGTCTCTCTCCAATCCTACGTCAGTAGTAAAAATGTTCTCCAAGTGTTACGTAATATGGCAACATTTCACTGTTTAGAAACTATTGCACGGTGGAACCAGGCAGAAAGGTCTAAAGCAGTTTTGCCCGTGGCAAATTCATGGTATGACTTGCTTTATGATCATATTAACAGCACTATATATTTTATTCTATTTATAATTAACGAAATTAAGATATACCTCCTTCAGTTTTACTTAGCTTTGCATATTCTCTATTCCCCAGTCACTTGAGAATTTTTTGTGTAAGATTTTGACCAAATTTAGTTCATCTTAATCTACCTATTCCATCCTAAAATGCCAGAAGAAAATGTATTTTTCTTCTTTATGTTAAATACAGTAACTTTCTAGGTGGAAATATTAATATGCCAACCAATTAAAATAATGAAATTTTTAAAAAATAATAAATTTAATAATAATACAAATAAAATTCCAAATACTTTCCCAGTCTCTTCAAAATTCCTAACTTGCCATTGCCAATACTAGTCTTATATTGCTTAGAAATTATTGTTGTAAAGTGTTGCCTTAAACTTTGAGGGGTTTTATCCATATTCTTTCTTTATAAATTGATTTAGTTACTGTTATTATGTTCTAAAATCTATTAGAGTTGTATTGTATTAAAGGAAGTAAGTGTAGGCTTGGTAGTAGATTTTCCCTCACCAGTTTTTTTATATATATTTAGCGGAGGATGGCAAGGAAAAACAGTAATATATTGCCTGGAGCAATGTGATTAGAAAGGTAGCTATTATTTAGATATATTCTGCTTTTTCTTTCTGGAACTAGGAAGAAGAGGAGCATTATATACCATAGCATTTTTTCATGTAGAGAAGATTGTAAGAGAAAAATTATTAAAGCTTCATTACTGTTTTGGTTAGGGATGCAGTTTGTTGATATGCTGTTTTCATGCTTTAAATGACCATGTAATCATATTTGTTAAGAACCACATATGTCTTTTCAGTGCCCATTTCCATGAACATTTCCCATTATTAACGTATTAATTTAATATTCTGATTGTCAATTGCTGTTCACTTGGAGATTAGGTATTCACATATTAGAGTCTGGCCTTCCCTTTTACCTTTGTCCACTGCTTTCTACCCCCTACTGCCTCCCCTGGTCTGTCTTTCAAACCCAACAGATGTTGCCTGATGGGACAGTCCTGTTTTATATTTACTTTTACATAAGGTTGACACGTTTTGGCAGGTACAGTGTAAAATGATGGGATATGAGTTGTAGAGCATGCAATTATTCTACTTAACTACTCAAAAGAAAACTATTTACCCAGTTAAATGAATCAGCATTTGTTTCTTAAAGCTACCTAAGAATTAAGTATCACAGTCACCACCTGTAGTAATTTGGTCATCCTGGTTATCTAGAAACTTTCACACATTCAATCTTAGCTTCCTGTGTTTTAATTTATACTGTTTGTCATTGTTTCGACTTCTGCAGTGATTACAGCATCTTTCTCAGAAAACTATTTTATATAATATGGCAGTGCCTCTCAAACTTTAATATACATATGATATCATCTGGGGAATCTTGTTAAAATGCAGATTTGATTTGGTAGGTCTGGGGAGAAGCCACAAATTATGCATTTCTAACAAGTTCACAGGTGATGCTGATGATGCTGGTCTGTGTCTAGTCAGAAGTCCATATACGTATATAACAACTCAAGTTTCTGACTGAAGAATTGACTTCATTTTTGGGAAAGACTTAGGATCAGTCCTCATTCCTGAGTTTCTGTATGTCCAAAGACCAATAAATTGTTTTGCTTCATTTCCCTGCTCCCACATGGTACAAGAGAATAATCCTGTCATCCCCCTTTATTTCCTTTTTAGTTAAAGAACTTCTCACTTCTATATCTTATATCTTAATATTAATTTCAAGCAGTATGGTCATTGATGTTATGTATTGTTTATTGAAGCATCTCTAGGAAGAACAGTAAATTGTTTCCTAGTGAGGTGGGATCCTCACTATTTCATATTCATAGAATGTATCTCTATTAATTCAATGTGAATGTTTTTCCATACAAATAAAATTCTGAAATGTTAGTAATTACATGATTTATTATTCTTATTTTAGCCTTTTATGTATATATATGCATCAGTTTGTACTCAGTTTGTCTTCTTTTATTTCAAGGGTGTGATTACTTTAGAGTCCCTTGGTAAAAGGGGTTATCGAGTACCTCCTTCAGGAACAATACAAGTGGTATGTGTTTTATAGCCTACAATTGCAATAATCATTCTCTCACATACATATAGAACTTAGCCCTTTCTCCTGCTACTGCTGCTGCAACAACTTTGGTAAGTAACAGTGGGGCTGCAGCTTTGTTTGGAGTTTCCCTGCTCTGCCTCAGGAATGACCATTTGGGGACCTCCATAAAAGGAAAGCATTAATAAGCTAATCAAGGTGAATGCTTTAGAAAAATAGGTATGACAGTTAACATAATTTAAATAGAGCTATTTTCAGTATAATTAGAATTTAGATTACCAGTACCTTCTACTTAATATAATAAGCCGGATTGAGATTGACCTATGTAAAAGGAGACCCCAAATATTAATATTGCTTTGTCAGGGAAACCTGGGAAGCAAAATTATATTATCCCTACTGTAATAATTTCTAAAATTGATTTAATGAGACGGTTACACAAAGCAGAAATGCAGTCCGACAGACGTCAGGGCAAAGAATGCCTCTTTCCTTTTGGTCTAGGTGTTGATCTAGTTTTGGCTTAGGAGAACCCCTCTAGCCCAGAGCAGTAATCCTTCATCATCCTTGATCTAGGATTCTCAGAAGAGTAATTTTATATCAAGACCAGTTTGTGATTGAGTTCATCTCCAAGTCAGACCCAGGATAATCCTGTAAGCGCGCAAGTCTATTACAGTGTTGGCTCTTGCAACTCTTGGAAGGAGTCTAGCTGAGATTTGTCAACTGTACCTCAATAAAGCTGAAATTAAAAAAAAAAAGAGTCTAGCTGAGTTCCTCACACTAAGGATCTGGTCTAATTCACCAAGCCTTTTGATGACCTTTGGCTTCAGTGTGATCAGTGCTTCGAAGGACCACTTTTACTCATCTTCATTGTTCCAGTATAGTGAAGAGTCTGTACATTTGTTTATTTCGTATCACACAGGAATGAAACATAGTACTAGGCAATATATATGCATGTATGTACATACGTATAAATTTTACCAAGGAAAAATCACTGCATTTTAAAGTAAGATTTTTATGTTGAATGGATTTCTTGAACTAAAAGAGTGATCATCTTCTGATCTCTTGCCTCTGGCTCTGTAGCGCTTGTGAAAGTGTGGGTCACTGGAAAGCTAGCTATCAGGTGTCATAATAATGAGGCATAAACCCAGAGGCAGCACATTTACCCCTTGTTGGAAGACTACCAACTCTACTGGCTATTTTAAATCTGAAATTTGGGTATGTCTTTCATTCCTTGTATAAATTTAACTATGTATAAACATGGCTTGAACTCCTGGCTTGCTAGTTGTTGTGGTTGTTAAATGTATTATTAGCCTTAATCTTAAGACTCACTAGATTTCAAAAATTGGATCATAATATTGATATATTTCTCATTTTGATTCAGTGAGTGATGTCCAGTGCCACGGATGAGCTTCTGAAAGCATGGGCACCAAGTTACCTATTGATGTGTTGGTAATTTGGTTAAAGTCAAATCAGCAGCTTGGAATTTTGTTTAAAAATTAGTGCTTTAAAAAATAATATTCCTTCAGTTATTAATGGCCAAGTAGCAACTGAATTTAATTTCAGTCTATTATGATATTGATGATGATTTGAAAAAAAGTCTAGTGTCACTGCAGTGTTTGAAATGAATCCAACTGTGAGAACGTGAAGTATTACTTAGCCTACTTTGTAACTAATAATAATGAACTTTATTTTCTAAACTTGGAAAAATTTCCAAACAAGAAAAATTCTCTTTTTTGAGAATATATTTTAAATTTTATAATAACCATATGTACCTGAAACATCATATCAAAGTCTAGTTTTACCAAGATTTTATTTTTTTATTTAAAAAAAATTCTATTTATTCACTATTAAGATGTGAGGAAAACTAAAATTCTATTTTGAGCATTTTTCAGTTGACTCATTTTAATAAAGCTAGTGTTTGAAGTAGTTGAACTGGAATGTTTTAATTCAGTGAAGGTGTATTTTGCTTAATCTAATGGAACCATTTCTTAAAATATGAACAAGAGTAAATGTTATGTATTATCTATTATTAATATGAGATTTGTGACTAAAGATTTTGATTTGTTACAGGAGCTTTTATTTCTTTTATTTCTGTAAATAAAAAATCTAATTGAACCATTAAAAAAATATTGAATATCATTTCATAAACTTCTGAAATTTTATTAACTTTATTCCCCCAAACTGAATTATATCCACTGGGATTAATTTATTATTGAAAAGCCTGTTTTATTATTGGCACAATCATTTTGAATCAAATGAACAAATCACTGTTTTTAAAGAATAATTTCTATATTGTTTCTTCAGACCTTATTTAATCCTAATAAGACTGTGGTGAAGATGTTTGTTGTGATATATGACTTACGAGATATGCCAGCCAATCATCAGACATTCCTACGACAAAGAACTTTTTCTGTACCTGTTAAACAAGAAATGAAGAGAAGTGTTAATAAAGAGAACATCCGACATACAGAAGAACGGTTATTACGCTACCTCATACATCTGAGGTAATGTTTCAAATGAATATGAAAATACGTTACTTTAGAAGAAAACTCTAAAATTTTTAGTTTATTTTTAAAAACTGTCATTCTAACTAGACGAGTGCCCCTTGGAATTTGCTTAACTTCGACACTCTTTATGATATGCCAGGATGCAGAAAACACATGGCATATCTTCCTTCAGTCATTACTACTTGTTGAATTAGGGGAGTTTTCATTTATAGCTGTGTCATGGAAACTATGTTATAGCAAAACAATGCTAATATATCTGGGGGAAGTGAAGCACAGTTGTCTAAACCAGTGCTGTCCAATAGAATTGTAATATGAGCTATATATATAGTTCTATATTTTCTAGTAGCCACATTAAAAAAAGTAATAAGCAGAGGTTTAATATATTTTATTTAACCTAACATACAAGTGTTATAATTGGAATATGTAATCTATATAAAAATTATTAATGAGATATTTACATTCCTTTGCTGTACTCAGTTTGAACTAGCCACATTTCAGGTGCTCAGTAGCCACATGTGGCTTGTGGCTGCTGAGTTGGACAGGGAAATTCTTAACTTTCATATTCATTCATTCATTCAACAAACATTGATGTGTCCAGCATGCTTCTAGACTCTTGGAAACAGCAGGGACAAAATCTCTATTCTTATACAGCTTATATTCTGGTGATTCCATTAGAAATATATTTTCCTCAAACTTTTACTACCCAGCTAATAGCTCTAGGTTGTGAGAAACCATTTGTTTGCTCTTGAGGTCCATGCTTCCAGCATCGTAGGGTAAGGTTTTTAGCCCTGAAATCCTAGTATAGTTCTTAAGATCAATGAGCAAGTGTATTGCTTAGAAGAGAGCTCAGTAGCCCTTTGCCTGTAACTCTATTCCTAATAATTTTCTGATGTTGTTCATAAGAAGTCCTCAATCACATCAGTGACAGTAATTCATCTTAGCTTAACTGCTTACTCCAAGGAGCCCTATTCATCAGGAGGAGGTAACTTCAATCTGTTACAACAGCCTTAGCCATATGTAACCAACATTCGCCAAAAAGTCAACTAGCCCAGCTTTTGTCATCTCCACATAATGATTAGATACCTTAAATGCTGTAAAGAAACTGCTTTAGAAGGCATGGCATAACTCCCAAAGCTCACCATGTTCTTCTTCAGGTTGAGAAGGTGAAAAACTGCAGAAAGAATCAAAGAGTGAGCCAGTCTGAGGTCTGCTTTAATATATACAACTGACCACCAGATTTTTCAGCTAATTTGGGAATAAAATCCACAAACCCAGATACTTCTGCTATGCAAAGGGGAAACTAGAGAAATTAACACTAAAGGGTATGTTTGACTATCTGCCAATTAAGTTTATGTGATTAAAGCCTCCAACCCCTGTATTATGCTATAAGCTGTTAGCAGAGGATAGAAACAGTTCCATATACAGCTTTGATAACCATTTTCGTTTCACTGCTAACTTTCCTCTTGGTTTCTAATGATGATTAGGCTTTATTTAGCTAGCCACTACTGGTGGTAGCTGTCCTTTCTCATCCTGTGATTGTCTCAAAACTTGATAGTTTTCTGTGGTGACTTTCCAAGTGTGGAATCCATTTTAACGTACTCAAAATTGTAGGAGGGCAAGTTGTGTGAAATGGGTCATTCTTTGTAGCTAGAAGATGCCCAAATGTAGTGTAATTGGCTGACGTGAACTGAAAGTGCATACTACAGGTAAGGAAAGGTGCATGTGCTGTGGTGTCAGGGATGTAGAGTCAGATTGCATGTGAAACCCAGATTTACAAAAAGAAGCACCTTTGTCATTGTAAGAGGGGAAAGGGAGTATGGAATGTTTAGGGATAGTGAGGGAGAGGCACTGAAATAGCAGCAAGTGCTTTGGCAATATAAGACTTTAAATATCTTGTTAAAGAGGCACTGTTAATGTTGTAGCAAGACTAATCCTTCCTGCTTTCAAAATTTAATTACTCAGGTTTGTTTGTTTTAAACACTAATTCCCTGAAATGAAGCATCATTTTGTTGTTTCTTTGTTTAGGTTCCAGAGTTCTAAATCTGGAAAGATCTACCTCCATAGAGATGTACGGCTCCTGTTCTCTAGAAAGTCGATGGAAGTTGATAGCGGTGCTGCATATGAACTCAAATCTTACACTGAATCGCCAACAAACCCTCAGTTTTCACCAAGATGTTGATAAAGAGTGACAATTTAAAGTATTTGCTCAGTACCCAAGTTTGAAAGTAAAAAATAGCGTAGAAGGGAGTGTACCAAATTAACAAGCAGGAGAGTGGGTCCTCTCCTGTTATCCTGGACCAGTTTTTATGAAAGGATTCCTGGGATGAGATCCACATATTCCAAGGAGACTGGAAACACTCATGTCCTAACCCTTTTTGTACTGTCGAAACCACTTCACTGGACTTGTTGCAAGAGCAAACCACCCCCCACCCCCCCACCCCCGCCACAGTTAGATTAGTGTTTACACGTTTCGTTTCTCAGTTATTTAATATTTAACGTTTTCCTTACTACTCAAGTGATGTTTGTCTTTAGTGTTCTAATGTAGCACAAATCCTATGTAAAATCATACTATGTATTTTTGACATTGTTGAAATCTGAAATATATGCACAAGTCTTTTAATTTTGTGTGATGTGTTTTAAGTACTATTCATTTAAGTTATTGAAAATGAGAATGAAATGTTGAGCTTCTTTCAAGATTAACGCACTATGCAAGCATGTGTACTTTTTATATCTCCCAGGTTTAGTTTTTACAACACCCCATCCCGGTTGCTGTCTCACACAGTAGTCCTTTAACATGCTGTATCGGCAGTGCAACGTGGAGTAAGCTGCTTCACATTACCTTAGCAAGTTCAGATCATCATGCCCATTCATATTCCTTCTAGAATCCCTTATCCCCAAAACAGTTCTATTTTTTCCTTAATCACTACTACAAAGGCTTTACGTTAAATTGCTGTCCCATTCTAGATAACTTTTGCTAATTGTTAAAAGAATATGTACTTTGAAAACAAATTAGTATTTATATTGTAAATATATGCAAGAAACAAAGAAATGTGTATTTGGCTTTTATTTTTAGATGAGACATTTATATGATTGAGTGAATTTCTGGTACCGATCAGTTTCTATTCTAGCTTTACAGCTGATAAGAGGGGAAAGATACCTTGAGCCTTGTACCAATTTATCACTTTCTCATTCACAGTCACATGGAAGGCATTTGGCAACTGGGAAAACACTGAGTAAAGGAACATGATTGAGCGCATCAAAAGTCTTCCCATCCATCCCCCTCAGAAAGAGGAGTGGTTTTAGATCTTTGTACAGGGACAGTGGGCAACAGCAGATCAGTTAACAAGGCACAAATACTGGGAATGCTCACACAAAGCCGTGAACGCAGGTTAGAAAATACATACCATTCAAGTAGGCCAGGCCCAGGAAACCTGGGAGTCTAGAACCAAGTGAGCAGTCTGGAATTTGGGAGATGGGAAGGTCTTTACTTTGGCACTCAGCTAATGGATAGACTATACAAGGCATATAAGAGTGTGTACCTGCAGGCTGTGGGGTGGTCAGCAAGAAGCCTCTTATAAAGTCCTTTTGAAACACCAGCTTAAAGAGAAAAGTCTATTTACACTCCACAAAAAAAAAGTGTTCGGTGACACCAATTTATAAAGGTTTGTTTTTAATCTTTAGGTGTGTGGTATCAACATGGAATTAGGACCCATAAGGTTTGGATTATAGCCCTAGCTCTAATGGTATCTGATGGAACTGACCTTTCTGGCTCTGTGTGATTGAGAAAATGGGGTGAGAGTATCATTAATGTGTCTTCTCTTCTTAAAGTGTCATCTAATTATTGGAATATGTATTTCAATACATGTATCTAGACTTTAAAAAAAATTTTTATTGGCGTACGGTTGATTTACAATGTTAGTTTGAGGTGTACAGCAAAGTGATTCAGTTATACATACACATGTATCCACTCTTTTTAGATTCTTTTCCTATACAGGCCATTACAGAGTATAGCAGAGTTCCCTGTGCTATACAGTAAGTCCTTATTAGTTATTTTATATATAGTAGTGCGTATATGTCAATCCCAATAGACTTTTTATATACATTTGACAAAAGTCAATATTGATAATTTTATATAAAACTCGGAAAATACCAAGTATTTAAAACATCAAAATGCCTTTATTTAATTTAAAAAAATATTATTGCTGCTTTAATCTCTCTAGTACTCCAAAAATTAATGATGTATGTGTATGCAGGTGTCTTTTTCTGTGGATACGACACTGCAGTCTTTCTAGAATTATTTCTAGTACCTGGTTTTCCACCTTTCTGGGCATTTTAAAGAAAATTTCCAGAAAATGACTGAAGCAGCTGGATGCATCTTGTGCTTTTCCTGGCAAGTTTGTGCAAGGGAAACAAGTGCTGACATTTTGTCCATCTACTTCTTAAGGCCTTTTTTGTCTGTGTTCTTTTTCCCAGTGAGGTATGGTGACCCAGCACCTGTCTGCTCTCACTTGCCCTGGCACTATCTCTATCATAATGGTTCTTTTTCTACCCTTCTTTTGTCATAGGCCGAGACTTTACCACACTTCCTGTGTGGCTCCTCTTTGTACTCACAGATTATGTCACTACACTGAGAGTTGGCTTGCAGGTAAAGACAACCAACACTGCTACCTGTGACAGATAATAGAGATCTCCTCACTTACTGCAGGCTCACTTGGCAGTTTTGCAGACTAACAAAATGAGTGATAACTTCTTTTTAAAAGAAACTCCAGGACACAAGTAACCTCCGGAAAGTCCTTGGAGATTTTCTTATCAGAAGAGAATGAAAAATATTAATAAGAAGTGATGACAATGGGGACCGGCTGCAAGTCACCCAACAGAAGGTTCCCTCTCCTGTCATTTTACCCCACCAGTTCTCTCTCATTCCCAGAGGGTTAGAGAAAGGAAGCAATTTCTCCTTCAAAAACTTCATCCTTGGGATCCCCACTCTCCCTGGTCAGTTTGTGAGTGAAGCAATGATTTGTTTTTAAATTTAATTTTTTTAATTTATGCAATACATGTTTACTATAAAATTTTTTTACAGTACATAGTTATGTAAAGTAAATGTGAAAGTCCCTCCTTCGATCCACCTTTCTAGCTATCACTTTACAGATGTGGTGGCTCTTAAAATTTTAGTATATGACACTCCACATGATCTACTAGACCTGGGAACACAGTATCAGTCTAGATGGGAAGTGGGCTTTTCATCATGGTAGGAATTCACTCTCAATCCCTAAGACTGTCTCTGTGTGACATTGGAATCAGCTCACTGTAGTCCACCATGGATTATCTGTGAGAGATATATGTCTTAAACTTGAACACTGTGGGAAGAGGCGGGGAACATATGAATGCCTACTGTGTGCCAGGCATTGTAAACAATTTATATGTTATTTAATACTTAAAGCCATGATTCAGAGAGAGTATGGATATAGTCTACAATGAAAGAAAAAGGACACTTGAAGTACTTGCCCAAGGTCCCATGGTCAGTAAGTTGAAGAGCCAGGATTCAAATCTAGGTTAAATCTTCTCTTTTCCACTCTACTACACTGGCATTTCACCCCTTTTTTCTTTTTTCTTTTTTCTACTACTAATTGTGGCCTGGCATCAAAATATACTTTTCATCAATATTCTTGGCAAAAAAGTTAATTTGCTGTGTAATGAGATTATATAATAAGGCAATGCCTATTAATCATTAGGGGGGAAAATATTTTGATTAAAAAATAAAAGACTTTAGGAAGGAATGTCCTAAAGCAACTCAGAGGCCCTTCAACTTAGTATACTGTCAGGAGGCATGCAAATACAGTTGTGAGACGTTTTAGAAACATATTGTGGCAAATATTTTATGAGATTTAAATGTTTAAAGTTTTAAACATCTCTTCCAGACCCCACCGTTCATCATTCTTTTTAATTCATTCAAAAATTTCCTATTCCAGGCTTTCTAGTTCGTATAACATTCTCTTGTCTCACTAAGTCCCTAGAGAAGTGGCATCCTCCACTCTCTTAAGTTCCACTTCCAACACTCAAGTTGTTAAAACTTTTATTTTGTTTTTTTACAGTTCTCTGACCTACTTATTCAGGTAATGTTCCCTGAGTTTTCTCACAGACATCACCATTTATACTCAGGGTTTTTTGGCACACTGTTATCTAACTTGGTTTCTCTGCATTGGTCTTCCAGTCTCTCCCTTTCATTAAAAATGTATTCTGTTTTTAGAAAGACAAATATCATATGATATCACTTATATGTGGAACCTAAAAAAAAATGATACAAATGAACTTATTTACAAAACAGAAACAGACTCACAGAATTAGAAAACAAACTTGTTACCAAAGGAGAAAGGGAATAGGGATAAATTAGGAGTTTGGGATTAATAGATACAAGCTACTATATATAAAGTAGATAAACAACAAGGACCTACTGTATACCACAGGGAACTATGTTCAATATCTTATAATAACCTATAATGGAAAATAATCAAAAAAAATATATATATATATATATATATATATATGAATGAACATATATATAAATATATATATATGCATCACTTTGCTGTACACCTGAAACTAACACAACGTTGTAAATCAACTATACTTCAATTAAAAAAAAGATATTCAGTTCTTGATATTTGCTACAATATCAGCAATGATGCAGGTAGACTTCCTCGCTCAGCTGTTTGAGGAATGGATGGGGTGTGACTTCTCATCTCCTTTACTCACTCCTACAAACCCTTGAGCTAGGGCACCTAAACCTCAAAAAGACCCCTGATCTTTTTAAAACTTTTATATACCTACCTAGTTCCAAGCCTGAAAAATCTTTTGTGCGTGTATGCACCAGAATCACCAGGGGGAGCTTTGGCTAAACATCAGTTCTTTGACTTTGCCCCAGACTTAATGCGAATCTCTGTCACTAGGGTTTCTCAGTGATTCTAATCCTTGTAGCTAATTTAATTTAATTAAATAAAATTGAAAATTCACTTAGTTGTGCCAGTCACATTTCAGATGCTCATTATTCATATATGGCTACTGGCTACTGTATTGGCTAGCACAGATACAGAATATTTCCATCATCACAGAAAGTTCTCTTGGACAGCACTGATCTAGAATATATAAATGGCAGTTGAAGCTATGAGGATGGAAATGATTTCTCAGAAAGTATAAAACTGGAAAAGAAGGGGATCCAAGGACAAAATTGTTAAAATCCTCCCATTAAGAGGCAGGTAAAGACTCAGCGAAGCAATGAGAAGTAAGAGAGAATAAGGGAGTGGTATCCTAAACATCAAGGGAAGAAAGTTTTGAGAAACAGGGAATTGGTGATCGCTGTGTAATTTTAAACATTAAGGTACATGGTTGATGATGCAAAAAGGAATATTACTTGGGGAAGGATGGCTTCTCAGACAGTCCCCACAGTGGGACATTGGCCTTTGTGGATTCTCCATTGACCAAAATCTGCCTCCCAGAAATCCAAACTTGCCCTCATGTGAGTGTCAGTATCTTTCAGGAACAGATTCTCTTTATCTAAGGTTACATATACTGATTTTCTATATGTGTGCATCTATCAGATTTTAGCTCACAAATACATTGATGTAGGATATATACCAGAATGTCAACTCAATAAAAATAAAACTGTTAGATGCTTAAGTTAGCCTGACTAGTGCATTCTGCCTTCTCCCTGTAGGTCTGCGTAAAAGAAAGGCAAATTTTCAGTAGGTTACTTTGTGAGTATGAAATGAGAACAAATATTTAGTTGATCTTATGAAGTTTCTCCGCTGGCCCAGCTTAGGTCACTCCCAAGGCATATACTTGTCAAAGAAAGAGCTCAGTCTCTTGAACCCTTGTATTTTAAATGCTCCCTTGCCTGACAAACCCCTTCTTTTCTTTCTCCAAAAGGAGTGCACTTTTTGTTTTTCAAGTTGCAATCCCAGTGCAATTTTTCCTGCCTGAGAGTCTACGTAGGACAACCTGGTTGAGTTTTTATGGTTTCCAAATTCCCACAGAACTGCATTCATCATCTGT